AAAAAAACTAAAAAATATTAAAAATATTAAACTCAAAAGCCACAAAAAAATTAATGAAAAGTCGCGGATACGTATTTCGGAAACAATGTTACCATTATCAACGCTAAACACATACTGACACCCCGACTAGAAAAAACTCCCTTATATACCCCTAGTGACCTTATCACCTAGTGACGTTATCACTAAGTAATATTATCACATTTTGCCAGTTTACACAAGTTTAATAATGAATTTTTCAGTGGGCCAAGATCCCAATTAATTAAATTGTTTTTATTTTTAAACATTTCTATTGCTTCTCTGATATTAAGTTCTTTGTAATTATTTACGTTTTTAATTAGTTTTATGGTTTTAATAGAGTGATTATGTGTCAATAAATGTTCAGCCACTGGAGATTTCTCAATTTCTTGATTTTTAATATTTCTTAAGTGCTCTTTAAACCTGACCCCTATATTTCTTTTTGTTTGTCCTACGTAACATTTATTACAACTTTCACATTGTATTTTATAAATGCCTGATTTCCCCCCTTCATCTACCTTATCTTTAGGGTTACCTAATAAATCTCTTAAATTATTACTCTTAGATGTTACCAAAGTAATACCAAAATTCTTAAATATTTTAGTTAATCCATTTGAGATGCCTGGATAAAATAAAATTGGTGATCTAATTACTTTTTGTTCCCCCTCGCTGGAGAGTGTATTAGCTGCCCTCCTTTCTTTTTTCCACTTTTGTTTTCGGACTAATTTCAAAATTATGTTTTCGTTATACCCATTAAATTTAGCTATTTCTTTTATAACCACCAATTCTTTATCATAATCTATTTTATTCATCGGAATATTAATTAATCTGTAAACCATACTATTAAAAGCTGACAATTTGTGTTGCCAGGTGTGGTTCGATGTGTTCGGAATGTATCTGAACGTGTGTGTGTTTTTCCGATAAATTTCAAAATTTAGTTCCCCCTCTGTTCTTTTANCAGTATGTGTTTAGCGTTGATAATGGTAACATTGTTTCCGAAATACGTATCCGCGACTTTTCATTAATTTTTTTGTGGCTTTGAGTTTAATATTTTTAATATTTTTTAGTTTTTTAAATTAATAATATTTTTAATATAGTTTTAATTTTACTTAATTAATTAGCCACAAGTGATCAATTTTTATTATACTATCTAAAGATTTGCATCGAAGCGTTTTTTATGATAGTGATTTTAATCACTGTCAGAAATCATTATACTTGATCCAAATATGTCACGTCACCACTGTGCCGCGACCCCCCTGTGCTGGGTTTTTTTTTTATTAAAGGATGTCAAAAATTATCGATAAGTTTCCAAGTAACAACTGAGTTTTATAAATCCACTAAATAGCGCATATTTTTTGCTACTTTTAGTATTTTTATTTAATTTAAAAAATATATATACTATGTTTTTTTATTTCTTTTAAATATACTTGCTTTAAATTACTTCAATAAGTTAGAGTCTTTTAATGAAGTAAGGAAAAAGGGGTAAGGCACCTCCTATTCTTTAGTCATTTATTAAAAACACATTTATTTTGAATAGAATTTAAGTGTTTATAATTTTTTTATGTGGCGTGTACATGTAAAATAAATATAAAATGTTTAATTTTACAAAATTATGAAAATTAAAAGTATTTTTTTTTTTAAGTATCGCAGTAATAATAGATTTGAGAAAACATGTATCGAAACCTTTTACATACAAAATACATTTTTATGCTAACTATAATATTCATTGAAATAAATGTGAAAAACTTAAATACAACAATAGTTGTTTAAACTTCAACCCCGATACACCACAGGAAAAGATTGTTTGATCAAATATAATTTTTCATAATATAAGTTTTATATCAAGAAAAAATGAATAAATATCTAAAAAAAATGATTTATCTATACTTTTAAACGTATATAATATATAGAATGTTCAGTAAGTAAGGAAACATATTTTTATTGTTCTTATTGTTGGTAACAATTAACTTGGTTCGTTTTTTACTGAACACTCTGTATATGTAGGTTTAGCGTTTGCACTCAATTTTATACGCATTTGTCTTTTTGTCAGTCGATTATAATTGAATATCATAAGTATCTAAGAGATTTTAATGTTAGAATTAAATAATTACATCCATCATAGTAGATGTAATGACATTAGTAATACTAATTAATAGTAGTTAAATATTAGTATCATTGTTACTCTACAAATAAAGTATTATTTCAATTTAAATTCCAAAAAAAGAGTTTATAATTCGTAAAATCAATTCATTGACTCTAGTCGTATTTCAAATTTTATACAAATACTTCAATATTGTTCAAATAAATTTTTATTCAAATTATCCTATTATATAAAAATAGAAAAATTATTCGAAGCTTAATTTTAAAATAGTACTGTTCAATAAAAATTATTAAAAAATTACTAAAAATGTAATTAATAAAAATATTACAATTTTAATAAAATAATATTTAACTAACAATGGCAATTTTAAAAGGTACAAATAGAAAAAATGAAAATGAAACTTTAGAATTTTTGTATAATGATAATGAAAATGATAGTAAATGGGTTGAAGAAATAACAGTTATAGCTGCTGCAAAAGGAAATTTGGAATTTTTAAAATATGTTCATCAAAATGGCTACAAATGGGACGAACGCATAACTGCTGCAGCTGCCGCAGGAGGTCATATAAACATTTTAAAATATGCATATGAAAATGAATTTCCCTGGAATGAAAGCACAACAGAAGCAGCTGCAAAGTATAGCCATTTAGAATGCCTACAATATGCCTGTGAAAATGGCTGTAAATGGAATATATTCCAAATCGTATTAAATGCTATTATAAACGAAAATCTAGAAATTATAAAATATGTCCATAAAAATTTAAGCAAATTGAATAATGTCCTAACTATGATTGCTGCCTTTGCAGGTAATTTAAATATATTAAAATATGCCCATGAAAATGGATGTCTGTGGGATGAAACCACAACAAAAGCAGCTGCTTCTAATGGTAAATTAGAATGTTTAAAATATGCCCATGAAAATAAATGTCCATGGGATGAAACTACAACAAAAGCAGCTGCTTCTAATGGTAAATTAGAATGTTTAAAATATGCCCATGAAAATGGGTGTCCATGGGATGAAACCACAACAAGAGCAGCTGCTTCTAATGGTAAATTAGAATGTTTAAAATATGCTCATGAAAATGGGTGTCCGTGGGATGGAAATACAACAGAAGCAGCTGCTTCTAATGGTGAATTAGAATGTTTAATATATGCCCATGAAAATGGGTGTGAATGGGATAAATATACGACTATTGAAGCTGCTTCAAGTGGTTATTTGGAATGTTTAAAATATGCTCACGAAAATGGTTGTCCGTGGGATGAAAATACAACAGAAGCAGCTGCTACTTGCGGTGAATTAGAATGTTTAATGTATGCACATGAAATGGAATGTCCTTGGGATGAGAGTATAACTAGAGCTGCTGCAGCAAATGGTAGTTTTGAATGTTTGAAATATGCACACGAAAATGGATGTCCTTGGAATGAAAGTACGCCGAGTGTTTCTGCAGAAAGTGGTAATTTTGAATGTTTGAAGTACGCCTACGAATACGGATGTGTTTGGGATAAGAGTACAACTAAAGCTGCTGCAGCAAGTGGCTGTTTAGATTTCTTAGTATATGTTCATGAAAAAGGATGTAATTGGCATGAAGATACAATAGGTGTGGCAGCTGTACAAGGTAATTTAAATTGTTTAAAATATGCCCGCGAACACGGATGTGATTGGGTTGAAGGCACAATGAGAGGGGCTGCAGCAAATGGACATTTAGACTGCTTAAAGTATGCCTATGAAAATGGTTGTGAGTGGGACGAAGGCACTACAAGAGAAGCTGCTGCTAGTGGTCATATTAATTGTTTGATATTTGCACATAAAAATGGTTGTAAATGGGATGAAGGTACAACAAGTGGAGCTGCTGCAAATGGTCATTTAGATTGCCTAATATATGTTAATATAAATGGGTGTGAATGGGATGAAGGCACAACAAGACTTGCTGCTGCAAATGGTCAATTTAATTGCTTAACATATGCTCATGAAAATGATTGTCCATGGAGTAAAGAAACCATTTATGAAGCTACTCGAAATGATTATACTGATATAACCAATTATGCTGCCGCAAATGGTTGTCTTAACTAATATGATACAATAATCTTTATGTCTATTATACACATTTACGTTTTCTATCAACAATTTATTTTTGAAATAAATTAACTTGATTTTTATTTTGTAGTATAATGTTTTTGCTTGTAGCGAACAAAATTCCGCAATGTTGAGGATTTTTAAGCATAATATTTAACGTAGTAACTCAAAATTAAACTACTATGTTGGGTATATGGTGTGTTGACCAAAGTTTGGATATTATCAATTTATTGCTTTTACCCTTCTTTACTAAGATAATTATTTCTAAATAATGAAGATAATACAAATTTACTTATTTCGCATTTTGTAGCTATAAATTGCTATCCAGAGATAATTTAACAAATCTTTCTATGTATATGTAAAAGGTGATTTTTTTATCATAACTCACTCAATTACTTGCAGAATAAATATAATTCAAATATTTTTTTTTTTGGTTTTTTTTAGTAACAAATTATTTTTGAATTATTAACTATGTAATACTTTTTAAGTTTATAAGGGATAAACTTGTAAGGGTGTCAACTTTGTTTTTTTTTAATGGAAACATATATTTTGAATTTAATAAAATGTGATTTTTCTAATAAAGTGTGTCACTCACATACTTAAAAAGTCCATAAAATTGTTAAACATCGAATATGTACATTAATGCAGATTTTTTTTTAATATGTAAGTATTACACAGTATCTATACAAATTTTACTCAACCTAAAATTTTCATTTTCTTAACATTAATAATATAATCAACTCTATCATTAAAGAAGATATTAAGTACTGAGATAGATCACAATAGTACTTTAAACACTATGAAAAATCTTAAATTATGTTTTGTAGTAATTCTACACAATACAAATATATTTAATTAATATTATATATATAATCAACAAAAAATAATTTTATATAATTAATAATTTATAATGAAATTAAATAAGTTTTTTTACTAAATCCGAAAGATAATATTCCTTTATCATCTCGGAAATTACTTTTCCTCCAACACAAGATACATACTTATTTATTAAAATAAAAATTGTACAATAGTTAAAAATTTTCTCATACATATTATTTAATGTGATTACTATTATAAAAAATTATTATAGCATCTACATATTTAGCTTTATATACTTTGAGATTTTCATAAGATTTGTTAAGAAAATTACATTCAAATTAAATGGACTCTGCATTATCAATATCTTTCGTTGGACATATTTTTCTACATTAAACATTTATTATATCAAATTTTTCATTCACAGACGAATTTGATACTTTATAGATACAAATTGACAATGAATAGAATATGAAAAATCATCGAATAGAATATAAACAACTATAGTAATTATAACCACTATATTTCCATAACTATATGATGAACTGGGTGTTCTAAGTCCAAGTTCGATCACGCGGATAAGTGTTGTCATAAAGAGTCAAAATAATAACAATTATAATGTAACATTTACTGATTGAACACTGCCCACTGGAATCAGTAGTCAGATCCGTTTTTATTAGGAATAATTAACAATTAATGATATAAATAACAATATTTCACTTTCTAAATGCTATAGTTTCTAATAATTATAATGTTTATTACTTTCTAGTTATTAATAATATAAATTCCTTAAAACTAATATTCATATAATAATTATGAGTTCATGACAACTAGAATTTCAACGCCTTGACATTATTTTTGTTTACATAATTTTTTAATTAATTATCATATTTGTATGGTTATGGTTCATGTATGTTGACTTATTCCACATTGAGTTGTTAAATGTTGTATTTTAATTAAAAGTATCTGGGTTAGTTGAAATCAAAAAGTATTGAAATAATTATACAATTCGAGTAAAATAAAAAACCCAGCACAGTGGGGGTCGTGGCATAGTGGAGACGTTGCACAGTTGGGTCCAGTTTAGATTTAATCTGACAGTGATTAAAATCATTATCATAAGAAACGCTTCGATGCAAATATGTAGATAGTGTTTAATTTTAAAAAATTGATGGATAATTACAAAAGCAACATCAACTTCTATTTCCTTAATTATACCCAGATTAGTAATCCTTTTATTATATATTATATAATTTTTAAAATTAATTGTTTTCAAATTTTATTATTGATTTTGATTTTTAATATGTTAAAAGTAATAATTTTGAACCTACTTTTTATTGTCCTTTAACGTGAAAGTTTTAATAAAAAAATAATGAAATTGTTAGGATTAATATGAATCAGGAAATTTTATAATTACTATTTACAGTATATTTATCAGAAAAGTTAGATTTTTTTACATTTTTATCGTAATAGATCACTTAAATAAAAATCATAGTAATCATTTCTAATTAACTTTTGGCGTTTAAAAAGATTCTACAGTGGAAATATTCAAAATTTAATTCATTTTAATGATTATATATCTAAAAACACCAATAAAAAAAAAGTTATTCAATTTAGCCTATTATAAAAATAATAATTATAAAAAAATAGGGCAGTGTATTGCCCTTATAAGATATTTTAAAATAAAATAAAATACAAAACCCAGGATTTTAACACAAAAATAGCATATTTTTGAATACGGTAGCCATTTGCGCATAGAAGATAGGTCGTCGGGACAAATTTTCTTTTTCATTTTATAGTACATAAAATAAGCTTTAATTTTATATATGTTTAAAAGACGCAGTATTTCCGGAACATTTTCAAAAGTTAAGTTAAAAAAGTTCAATTTTTTATAGAATGTTTCAAGTTTTGAACGCCCCTTGTATATGAGAAAATTACCCAATTTTTTATAAAAAGTATGTCAAATGAAAGATGTACTTATAATGTATTTAGAAAAAAAAATTTGTGCTGATACATAAATTTTTTTGAAAATTTATAGAATTTTAAAGTTGAAACTTAAAATCAAAAATTTTAACACAAAAATACCATTTATTTAAATACAGCAGCCGTTTGCATTTTAAATCCCCCCTGTGAGCAGGTTAGGTATTAGATTTTTAAAAAAATGAAAGGTAAATATCTAAGGTTTTAATATAAAAAAATATGTTGATTTTTGAAAAAGTTATGGAAGTTTTAAGAAAAAAACACAGTGGGGTCGTGGCTTAGTTGGGTCTAGTATAGATGATATCTGACAGTGATTAAAATCACTATCATAAAAAACGCTTCGATGCAAATCTGTAGATAGTGTTTAATTAAAAAAAAAAATTTGTTAAAATAGCATATTTTTGAATACGGTAGCCATTTTCGTATAGAAGATAGGTCGTCGGGACAAATTTTTTTTTTTAATTTTATAGTACATGACATTTGACATATGTTTAATGGATGCAGTATTTCCGGAACATTTTCAAAAAAATGATAACAAATGAAAAGAAATTACATAAGATTTCAATATAAAAAAAATTTATTTTGATTTGTTAATATTTAAAAAAGTTATGGCAGTTTTAAGTACAAAAAACATCCTTATAAAAGGTGATTTTTATCGCAAACATTACATTTTTTTTTTAATTTCGACAGCCATATAGATGATAAAGTGAAGGGACAAATTTTCTTTTTCATTTTATAGTACATAAAATAAGCTTTAATTTTATATATGTTTAAAGGACGCAGTATTTCCGGAACACTTTCAAAAGTTAAGTTTAAAAAGTTCTATTTTTTATACAACGTTTCAAGTTTTGAACGCCCCTTATATATGAGGAAATTACCCAATTTTTTATAAAAAGTATGTCAAATGAAAGATGTACTTATAATGTATTTAGAAAAAAAAATTTGTGCTGATAATTACATTTTTCGAAAAGTTATAGCATTTTTAAGTTGAAAATTTTAATCAAAAATCAAAAATTTTAACACAAAAATAGCGTATTTTTAACTACGGCAGGTTTACATGCAGAAGATAAAGTGTCGGGACAAATTTTTTTTTTCACTTTATAGTATATAAAATAAGCTTTAATTTGATATATGTTTAAAGGATGCAATATTTTCGGAACATTTTCAAAAATGAAGTTGAGAAAGTTAGTTTTTGTAAAAGAGTTGCTATTTAAATCCCCCCCAATGAGCAGGTTAAGTGTTAGATTTTCAAAAAAATGATATCAAATGAAAGAAAAATATATAAGGTTTTAGTATAAAAAAAAATTATGTTGATTTGTTTATTTTTGAAAAAGTTATGGAAGTTTTAAGAAAAAAAAAGTGAAAAAAATGACAAAATTTACCGATTTTTAAATTTGTAATATTTTTGGAGGTTTCCCTCATTTATGGGGAACGAGGGAATTTATTTCAATTTTTAAGGGTAATGTCTTCGACTAGATACGATTTGTGATCTTTTGACGTATTGTTGAAAGAAATCGATCCAGTGAGAGCTGAGAAAAAGTGGCAACAGACACAAAAAAAAAAAATAAAAATAATAAACACATCATGGTAAAATTAATACAATCTCAGCTTCGCATCGAAGTTAAAATAAAAGTTAAATTAAGTTCAATTAAAAACTAACATTGTATTAATGTATTAGTAATTATATTTTATTAATAGTAAGGTACTAATTGTTTTTTTAATACAAATAAAATCTAAAATAGTTTCAAATATGAAAAATGCTTGCCAGCAATAAGAAATATTGATATTATATTATTCTGAATTTGGCTTTTATTTTCTATTTAAGTTAGTAAGAGATTACTATAAACATTTTATTAACTTATTTGTTACATTTGACAGTCTTTTCTTCTATCACAGAATTTTCTGAAAAACAGTTGTACTTACCAAGAAGAATATAAATAAAAATAATTATATTTGCCAGCAGCATATTGATAAAATATGATTGGTGACCATCCATCTGAACGTTTTTTATTAATTTTATTATCATTATATTTTTTTCATACATGAAAGCTTATTTTCTTCATCTTAGAGTAAAAATATAAATAAATAAGCATATTACACTGTGACCAGTAATGTTCAAAATTATTTACATAACTAAGCAAGTTTTTTACCAACTTAAAAAGCCAAGACACAATTTTATAAAGTATCAGATAATGAAAATTAGATAGCATGAAATGTATACAAATCTCTTAAAATAAACTTTTGTTATGTACACATATAAGTTCTTTAGGCTTTTAAAGGTTAATTTCAA